AGTTTCCTGATAAAAAGAGAGCAAATCCCAATTCAAATAGAGGGTTTGGGTTTGGTTTTTCCCCTATTATTTCCTTAGCAAACTCAGGAAATAAGAGCCACTCTGAAATTACAATGGGTTGCAACACTTGGCTCTGACTTTGTGCAAATTCAGTTGCATGCCTAGAGGAAAAGAGAAGCACTTCAGAGGGTGAATCTAGTTGGCCTTGCCCTGGGGAGGCTGCTCTGCCAGCTGTTACCCTGGAGAGCCCCCCTCTGCCCTGGCTTAGCTGCTCCCTGAGCACTGGGGTGGTGTGAAGTGCATTCAGAGTTAATTCCCACTCTTAGACTCTCTCCTTCCCTGACTTTGCAGCCCCATCCGCTGTGCAAAGTCTCGGCTGTGCCCGGGGCCCTACAATAGAGAAAGCACAGGGTGGGGGCGACTTTTGAAAGACAAGAACCCGGTGGGTTCTGGTGCACTGCTTCCTGTCACTGCTGTGACATTACAAAGGGTAAAATGGCTTCAAGCCACACATATTTTATTGTCTCACAGCTCTGGATTTCAGAGTGTAAAATGCTTCTCCCTGGGCTAATGCCAAGGCGTTGGTTGACAGGACTGTCCCTTCTGCAGACTAGGGGAGAACCCGTGTTCTCGGTTTTTGTAGAACATCATAGTCCTTGGCTCGCACCCTCTTCTGTCTACAAAGCCAGCAATAGTAGATGCCGAGTTCTTTCATGCCCTGTTTCCCTAATATTGACTCTTTTTCTTTTCACATCTGTCTTTTTTTGGGGTGTGTGTACATGTTCATGTGTGTGTGCATGTTCATGTGTGTGCATGGTTCGTGTGTGTGCATGTTTGCGTGTGTGCATGTTTGTGTGTGTGTGCATGTTTGTGTGTGTATGTTCATGTGTGTGTACATGTTCATGTGTGTGTACATGTTCATGTGTGCACATGTTCATGTGTGCACATGTTCATGTGTGTGCATGTTCATGTGTGTGTATGTTCGTGTGTGTGCATGTTTGTTTGTTTGTGTGTGCATGTTTGTGTGTGCATGTTCATGTGTGTACGTGTTCATGTGTGTGTGCATGTTCATGTGTGTACGTGTTCATGTGTGTGTACATGTTCTTGTGTGTACATGTTCACATGCATGTACATGTTCATGTGTGTGCATGTGTGTACATGTTCATGTGTGTGCACATTCATGTGTGTGCATGTTCATCTGTGTGCACATTCATGTGTGTGCAAGTTTGTGTGTGCATGTTCATGTGTGTACGTGTTCATGTGTGTACGTGTTCATCTGTGTGTACATGTTCATATGTGTACATGTTCATATGTGTGTGTACATGTTCATGTGTGTGTACAAGTTCATGTGTGTGTACATGTTCATATGTGTACATGTTCATATGTGTGTGTACGTGTTCATGTGTGTGTGCATGTTCATGTGTGTGCATGTTCGTGTGTGTGTGTGTGTGTGTGTGTGTGTGTGTGTGTGTGTGTGAGACTGTGTATTGTGCATGCATAAGGATACATAAGGAGGTCAGAGGTCTACATTGGATGCCTCCCCAGTCACTCTCCATCTTACTCTTTGGGACTGGATCTTTCACTGAACCTGAGTCTCACCTGTTGTGCTAGAGTGGCTAGCCTGTACGGCCCAAGGATTCCCCTGTCTCTGCCTCCCAGCTGGGATTACAGGCATGTGCCTGTCTTCATGTGGGCACTGAAGATTGAACTCAGGTTCTCATGCTTGCACAGCAATCAGTTCACACACTGAACTGTCTCGGGCTCCTTCTGTCTTTCAAGGACCCTTGTGATAAGATTGTCCCCACCTAGATCATCAAGGACAATCTCTTTATTTTTAAGGCTGATTAACAACCTTACCTTGAGCCAGGCAGTGGTGGCGCATGATTTTATTCCCAGCACTCGGGAGGCAGAGGCAGGCGGATCCCTGTGAGTTCAAGGCCAGCCTGGTCTCCGGAGTGAGTTCCAGGACAGCCAGGGCTACACAGAGAAACCCTATCTTGAAAAACCAAACAAAACCCACCCCACCTTACCTTCACATGCAACCTTAGTTGCCCCTGGCTTATGACAACGGGTTCCAAGGATTAGAATGTGGCCCTCTCTGGCGTGGTTGTTATTCTGCCGATGGCCCAGGAAATGAAGACTTGGAACTTCTTAACTATGACCCTTCCTGCTACCTGGAAAGATTGGCTCCATTCCCTGTGAACACCACAAGATGTGTGGTGTACCTCACCCACCCACCCTGGTGCCCGGCACACAGATCTGTGAAACAATCCAAACACAGGGGCATGGCCCAACACAGAGAGAAATACACAGGCCACCTGCTCACATATTCACAGAAATGCATAGACACATGCCCACTAAATACAAAATAGTGAGCTTCTTCACCACACTGGCATAGCTTGGTCATTTGGGAATGCCAAGTATGGTTAAAAAGGAGGTTAATTGAGCTGGATGTGCTGTTGCAGATTAAAGTCTGTGTGAGACAAGACGTGCACAAAACCAAGCTACTCAACATCCCTGCCTGGAGCAGGGAGGGCTCAGGTGACTCTCACCCCTAGCCGAGGCGATGTGACAGTTGCTTTGATGGAAGAAAGTCATTTTTATTTAGGCATGTGGCCCCTAGAAAGCTGACCATACTCCGGTGGATTCCCCACACCCATGTGTATATGGGCAGCACAAGTTGGACTCAATAGACCATTTTTTAATGAAAGGACTTGGAGTTGGCAGTGGATGGGAAGTGTCCAGGAGGAGTTAGAAGGAGGGAGAGAGGGCTGTATATGCTCAATATACATTATATGAATGTATGGAATTCTCAAAGAATAAATATAAACATTAACTATTTTGGGAGACTGATTTCTTTCTAGGCTTCTAATACAGCAAGATGACACATAACCTTCGCTGCTCTAAAAGGACAGTACACGCTGGGTGGTCTGTCCTGCACACCTGTTGTGTTCGTTTCCAGCCTTATGACTCTGCTTTTCCTAATGACCTACTCTGAGTAGGTATGAGCAACTTCACACACATACAACCAGATGGCGCCCCCTCACAGGTGGAGGCCCTAAAAGTTCCACTTCCCCCTGGAATTCATCTGTGCTATGAACACAGACCTGGAGACTCAGGGCGTCGATGCTTCCAGAGCCTTCTGTGGTTACTAGTGGGGAGGAGCGTGTGGAGAATGCTTCTCCCTTTCATCCTCCAGGTGTGTGGTTCTGAGGCCTGTCCCACAGACCATGAGGTCTTACAGGGTTAGAGAAGGCCTGTAGAAGGGGAGTGTTGGGGAGAGCTGTGGAGGGTGGCTGCTGGGGGTGGGAGCTGAGGAGGTGGCCTGTAGAAGCAATTTGGCACTTGGCCTGGGATACATATATTGGTTGTCTCTCTCTCCTGGTCCTACTGTGTCCTTCCCTCCCTGCCCCCACCCCAACCTAACTAAGCACTGGAGTACAAGGCTTTGCTTCAAGGCCTGCTTTACGGGAGCCAGGCAAAGCCAGGTGCTGGAC